ACAGGAGCAACAACAACAACAAACAGGAGCAACAACAACAACGACAACAACAACAACAGGAGCAACAACAACAACAACAACAACGACAACAACAACAACAAGCAATAACAAACAACAACAATGCCATAACAGTGAGGATAATAAAATAATGTTAAAATCAAATTTATTGTGCGAAGTAATTTTCAAATTGGTTGGAATTTCAGACATATCAAGCATGAGTAGTTAACATTTCGTTTATTCATTGTTGTCACCGATAAAGCAGATCCTTACATTGTTATAGGACGGATATTCTTAAACGAGTTTTTGTTTTTTCTTTTTTTTTTTCATACTTCGAATTTAAGAAAAAAAAAACGAAAGAAAATACGAAAAAAAAAAGTGTCTTTTTTCATTTTTGTCTCTGTCACCAATAGAAATCTTTTTAGATTAGATATGACCTATTGGGAACAGCACAACATGTACATTCTTTCTCGATTCATTAAAATTAATTGAAAATTGTATGATCTGTTGTCCATACAGTCTTTTTTTTTATGGCCATAAATAGGGAATGAGTGAAAAATAGAAAAGAGAAAAAAAATTTGTTAAAAAAAAGGGATTAATTCAATCATTTTTTTGTATTTGTAAATGTTTGAAAATGTAAAGGAAAAAAAAAAGAAATGAAACAAATTATGAAATGAAACTTTTTTCTTTTCTTAAACTATAATTATGGAAAATATGAAAAACTATCATATGGTCATACTATATTATGTTAAAATGAGAAAATAAAATAAAATTTGAATGGATTATTTGAATATTATTGCATATTCATTATTTAATTAATTATAATAGAATAATCACTAATATTTTTTTTTAATAACTATTCATTTGTAAATTTAATTTCTAATTTTTTTCATAAAATGTGGAATTCTTTTTTTTCTTTTCTTTTTTTTTTACTTTTCTTAACACAAAACATATTCAGTAGAACGGTTTCCAAAGTATTACCAATTTATTTATATTCCAAAAAATCATTAACTTACACTAAAGCATCACTGATTCATTTCTAACAATTCACACCAAAATAATTCCTTTTTTTTATTTTCTTTTCATTTACCAAAACTTCATTTAATTCGTACATAAAATGTTAATTAACAGTACAGCAGACTTGATATCAACAAAATTCAAAAATAAAAGATAAAAATAAATTATGCCTACATATCAAACCATTTTTTTTTTTTTTACTTATTTCCAGCTGTCATTAATTTCATTGCATCAATCGATTTTGAAGAAATTTTACAAATTCTTTGAAGTGTTAACGAATAAAATATAAAAAATCACTACAATTAAATTGAAATTAAAATGCTTTTCAAAAAGCTTGAAGAAATTGAAGGACTAAATTGCACATTTTATATTGCAAAAATTCCTCATACTTTTAAGATGTCGCAGATATTCTGAAACACGAAATGTCCTACTTTCTAACACTCCATATTAGATGTACTAATAATTTACCGAGTTGCTAATAGAAAAGCTAATAGCAGGATAAATTGAACTGCAAAGGTTTGGAAAATGTTGTAATGTTAAATTGAAACAAGTTAAAATGCAAAGAGTTCAAAAATATTCTAATTTTAAGCCAAACTGAATTACAAAAATGTTTCGGCGCCAAATTGGGACAAATTAAATTGCAAACATTTGAAAAATATTTTGGCGCTAAATCAAAACAATTTTGAACCACAAACATTTCATGAATGTTCCAACTGTAATATTGCCTACTACTAATTACACGTGATCTCATACTTCGAATAATAGTTGGAATTAAAAAAAAGAAAAAAATTGATGAAAATGGCTAATTTTGATACGATTTAAATGATAAACGATTCAAATGTTCACGATTTAACTGATTTAAATGTTTTTAAACAATTTAAATGTCCACGATTTAACTGATTTAAATGTTTTTAAACAATTTAAATGTCCACGATTTAACTGATTTAAATGTTTTTAAACGATTTAAAT